CAGCTGAAGACACATCTTTTTAGATTTGTATTAGCGACCCCCCCCCCCTTTAAATGGTCTTTTAGTCTTTATTATTTACCTACTTTTATATTGTTTTATTTATTTTAAAGGGTTTTATCTTACATTATTTATTTAACAGTTTTAATGGCAACATTTCCTTTTACGTTGTTTTAATCTTTATTAGAATTAGGACGTTTTTATTACTATTATCTTTTTATTTTTGTTGAACCTATAAGTTGACTTTATTTGATAGGGTTTCATATTGTTGCTTCGCTTCACTTAGTCTTGAGTCTTATTTATTATTTATTTTATTTGTATTATCTCACCTTTGACCTCCTCGTGTCTCTTAGCCTGTTAACATTTTATATGTTCCTGCATGTATCTGTAAAGTTCTTAACATCTGATCTGAGGGGAACTTCCTGTGTATTTTTAACTGGTGATGTGTCATTTTGTAAATGTGCCGTATAAATAATAATAATTATTATTATTATATCATAGAAGATGTCTCAAGCGTCTTTAACTGATAAACCTCAGGTCTAAAACATCAATGCAACACATTTCTGACACTTTAAAAAAAGAAAATTCAGAAAAATTCTACATTTATTTCAGAAAAATTCTATATTTCTTTCAGAACATTTCTAAAAAGAAATCAGAAAAATGTAGAATTGCCAGAGCCTCGGTGTGTCCGGATGAACTCGGTGTGTCCGGATGAACTCGGATTAAAAATTCTACATTTTTTTCACAACATTTAAAAAAGAAATTCAGAACATTTCTAAAAAAAAATCAGAAAATTTCTACATTTATTTGAGAAAAATTATATATTTTTTTCAGAACATTTCTACATTAGCCAGAGCCTCGGTGTGTCCGGATGAACTCGGATGAAAAATTCTACATTTCTTTCAGAAATATTATGCATTTTTTTCAGAAAAATTATGCATTTTTTTCAGAAAAATTATGCATTTTTTTCAGAAGAATTCTATATTTATTTCAGAGAAATTCTAAACTTATTTCAGAGACATTTACGGAGCCCCTAAAGGGACATGGAAAAAAAATCAATAAAGAGAGAGAGAAAAAAAAAAGTCAGGATAATGGATAAGTATGTCCCTAAAATTCGAAATCCAGTTAGAAATATATCTCAAATAATGTGTGCTCTGTCATTTCCCCACGTAAACTTAACAGTCTGCAATGAAATGGTTGTCTCCTGTGTGCTCCACTTCCTCCTTGGCGCACCGGTAACTTTCTGAAAAAAATTAAATAAAGTCAGGATAACGGGTTAGTTTCTCGTGCGCACGTATTCTTGACTTTATTGTTTCTCATGTCTCTTAAACCGTTATCCCGAGTTTTTTTTTTTATCTTCTTTTTTTCCCCCCACAAGATACTTTCTCGTGCGCACGAGATACTAACCCGTTATCCCGACTTTTTTTTTTTTCTCGCTCTCTCTTTTTTTTTTTTTTTCATGTCCCTTTAGTGGGGGGGGGGGGTTACCTTGGTTGCTGATTGGCTAATGGTTACACAAGCCAAAACATCGTTATGACATCATAAAGTGGCCAAAATCTGATCAGCTCATTTTCAGACAGGTTTTTATAGAAATGGATCAGGACAAAAAGAGAGAGAATCTTTGTTCCTGAAACTTTCAGAGTCTCTTTACACAGAGGGGACACATGTTGATGTAGAAGAGACATGAAGAAGAGGGGACACATGGTGATGTAGAAGAGACATGAAGAAGAGGGGACACATGGTGATGTAGAAGAGACATGAAGAAGAGGGGACACATGTTGATGAAGAAGAGACATGAAGAAGAGGGGACACATGTTGATGTAGAAGAGACATGAAGAAGAGGGGACACATGTTGATGTAGAAGAGACATGAAGAAGAGGGGACACATGTTGATGTAGAAGAGACATGAAGAAGAGGGGACACATGTTGATGTAGAAGAGACATGAAGAAGAGGGGACACATGTTGATGTAGAAGAGACATGAAGAAGAGGGGACACATGTTGATGTAGAAGAGACATGAAGAAGAGGGGACACATGTTGATGTAGAAGAGACATGAAGAAGAGGGGACACATGTTGATGTAGAAGAGACATGAAGAAGAGGGGACACATGTTGATGTAGAAGAGACATGAAGAAGAGGGGACACATGTTGATGTAGAAGAGACATGAAGAAGAGGGGACACATGTTGATGTAGAAGAGACATGAAGAAGAGGGGACACATGTTGATGTAGAAGAGACACGAAGAAGAGGGGACACATGTTGATGTAGAAGAGACACGAAGAAGAGGGGACACATGTTGATGTAGAAGAGACATGAAGAAGAGGGGACACATGTTGATGTAGAAGAGACATGAAGAAGAGGATTTAGCAGAATAGGGGACATTTAAAGAAAGCAGCTCTCTGAGTCTCAGCTCTCTGAGTCTCATCTCTCTGAGTCTCAGCTCTCTGAGTCTCAGCTCTCTGAGTCTCAGCTCTCTGAGTCTCATCTCTCTGAGTCTCAGCTCTCTGAGTCTCATCTCTCTGAGTCTCAGCTCTCTGAGTCTCATCTCTCTGAGTCTCATCTCTCTGAGTCTCAGCTCTCTGAGTCTCAGCTCTCTGAGTCTCAGCTCTCTTTGCAGCTGCTTCAAAGCCTCAGGAGCAGAGAAACTAAACCTCTTCTCCAGTTCAGTACCAAGAGGCAAAGTGTAGTTCTGTGTAAATGTGAGTACCTTCTCCCCTGGTACTCCATCCCCTGGAAGCCCCCGAGGACCCATCGGCCCCTTGAAGCCAGGCTCTCCCTACGAATAAGAAAAGGTCAATTGGTAAACAACACGAGGGTATCATCGGCATGCAGGGACATCCTGAAGTCCTGTCCATGGAGAGGAACACTACGGAGGGGTTTGAGGTAAGATAAGAAACAAGATAAGAAATACTTTATTGATCCCAATGTGGGAAATGTTTGCGTTGCAGCCGCATAAACAGACAAGGCGTTACATTAGAGACATTAAAAGAGTAGAAATAAACAATCCACAATGTAAACATCGTTTGAGGGAAAAGCAAAGACTAGAGATATAAAAGGAGACAGTGGTCATCTATAGAATTAACAGTTTAATGGATTTCTTTTAGTGACAACTGTATTATGTTGGTCATCAAGGATGGGTATCGAACCGATCCGTGCAGACCAACATCATTTGATTTCATTTGTATTTGTTCCTTCATGGTATGCAGAACTTAATGGATAACAATTATCTACAGAACTTGTCTCTTTAAACACACCGTACCCGAAAAGGAGCAGGGAGGAGAAAGTAATCTGATATGACCTGCACCTTTCTCAAAATAAATAATAAATAGAAATAGATGGTCTGTGCTTCATATGTTCTTATTCTCAGCCAATCACAACGTGTCGTAGGACGATAATAATGACGAGGCTCGTCAAGGGTTTTGATCAGGATGTTTTGTGGCTGTGGCTCCGCAGATTAGATGGTTTTCCACCAATCAGAGGGTCGACATGTCAAACTGTCCATGGGCAAAAACCTACATTTGAGAGTGAAGGGTTATCCCTCCTGACGACCAGGCGGCCCCTCAATGGGCTCTGCCGTTATGAGGACGTTTTGGTGAACTCTGGACTCGTGTAAAAGCAGTTTTTAGAGCTCAAACAGTCTCTAAATGTTCTGTATCACATGCATGTCCTACCTTTGGCCCCTGGATGCCCTCTCCTGGAGGCCCCATCAGGCCTGAAGGTCCACTCTGCCCCGTAGAGCCCTGAGGATACAACACATCACGGTACTTTAAAAATACAAGGCTTCATAAACTCATGATGAAATAGAGAGGGTTTTGAAACACACACTGACCTTGGGTCCATAGAGTCCAATCCCAGGAGGGCCTGATGGTCCTGGTACCCCCGACAAACCTCTGTCGCCCTGAAGAACAGACACAAATACACCAATATCATCTACAGCATTATACAAGTCTCTGTTTTAGTCTACCTATTTATCTTCTTGGACACATTTGAGTTTGTTCTATCAACAGTCTTTGGTACGATCGATCCACATGACGTGCTCTACATTCTGCTGCCATGTCCACATTTATGAAGAGGTGTTATGTTCGAAGAATCAAAATGCCTTTATTCGTATTGAAACACTATTCGATAAAGAGCATGCACATACTATTACAAGGAGTTATTCCAATTTACAAGAAATATGTTGAGGCAGTCTCTAATCGGTGAATCATCTTCAGGTTTACGTTACGCTTCGTCTTTTCTAGAAATTTGTTGAAATTGCTTGTAAAAAAACTAATTTTGTAACTATGGTATGTTGAATGGCACTACATTTCCCATGAGCCTTAGCACCCTCACTTCATGCATTGTGTTGCCTCACCTTAGCTCCAGGTAGTCCTTTCCCTTCTGGTCCCATCTCTCCTGGAAGTCCCGGTAATCCAGGCCGACCCTAACGATCACAGAAAACATGTTAACTTTCAAACTTCTGCTTTAAATATGAGGATAATGAAAGTTGAATGAGTGTTTCCTCTCACCTGAGGTCCTGGGGAACTTTCTCCCTTCATCCCTGGAGGTCCAACAGGTCCATTGTTCCCTTTGTATCCCTGCAGGAGGACAGGAAGTGAGACATTGCTGATGTATCTGCATATTAGCAAACAACAATATTGACCTACAGGTGCACATATTCAGATTTATGGTTTATTTAAAATCTCCACATTTTTGAAAAACGTGTAATTCAAAATATTATGATCTCATTTCAAGTAACCAAAAGGACAAATGTCTTACTGTATTTATTAGTTAAAAATGGGTAAACCTATTCTCCTTAATTTAACTTTCTCCATACAGTTTGTCCTCTGTTGTTAATACTTGATATTTGCTTTGAGAAAAATAATCAAAGAAATATGTGACCGGATCAGTTTGTATAACTCTGCTGCTCCATGCATTTCATACATGAAGCATATATATATATATATATATATATATATATATATATGAATCAATATAGTGATTATATTCTGTGTTCACGTTACCTTCGGCCCAATGATTCCCAGACCGTGTTCTCCCACAGCTCCTGAAGGTCCCACAGGCCCCAGATCCCCCTGTTAGAGAACCATTAACTCTCATTAAAACTGCTTTCAGATATTTATACTCTCAGAGCAGGGAGAAGTACTCAGATCTTGTACTTTAGTAAAAGTAGAAGTACTCAGGTCTTGTACTTGAGTAAAAGTAGAAGTACTCAGATGGTGTACTTGAGTAAAAGTAGAAGTACTCAGATCCTGTACTTGAGTAAAAGTAGAAGTACTCAGATCTTGCACTTGAGTAAAAGTAGAAGTACTCAGATCCTGTACTTGAGTAAAAGTAGAAGTACTCAGATCGTGTACTTTAGTAAAAGTAGAAGTACTCAGATCTTGTACTTGGGTAAAAGTAGAAGTACTCAGATCTTGTACTTGAGTAAAAGTAGAAGTACTCAGATCGTGTACTTTAGTAAAAGTAGAAGTACTCAGGTCTTGTACTTGAGTAAAAGTAGAAGTATTCAGATCTTGTACTTGAGTAAAAGTAGAAGTACTCAGGTCTTGTACTTGAGTAAAAGTAGAAGTATTCAGATCTTGTACTTGAGTAAAAGTAGAAGTACTCAGATCTTGTACTTGAGTAAAAGTAGAAGTACTCAGATCTTGTACTTGAGTAAAAGTAGAAGTACTCAGATCCTGTACTTGAGTAAAAGTAGAAGTACTCAGATCCTGTACTTGAGTAAAAGTAGAAGTACTCAGATCTTGCACTTGGGTAAAAGTAGAAGTACTCAGATCTTGTACTTGAGTAAAAGTAGAAGTACTCAGATCGTGTACTTTAGTAAAAGTAGAAGTACTCAGGTCTTGTACTTGAGTAAAAGTAGAAGTACTCAGATCGTGTACTTTAGTAAAAGTAGAAGTACTCAGGTCTTGTACTTGAGTAAAAGTAGAAGTATTCAGATCTTGTACTTGAGTAAAAGTAGAAGTACTCAGATCTTGTACTTGAGTAAAAGTAGAAGTACTCAGATCCTGTACTTGAGTAAAAGTAGAAGTACTCAGATCTTGCACTTGAGTAAAAGTAGAAGTACTCAGATGGTGTACTTGAGTAAAAGTAGAAGTACTCAGATCCTGTACTTGAGTAAAAGTAGAAGTACTCAGATCTTGCACTTGAGTAAAAGTAGAAGTACTCAGATGGTGTAAGTACTCAGATCTTGTACTTGGGTAAAAGTAGAAGTACTCAGATCTTGTACTTGAGTAAAAGTAGAAGTACTCAGATCGTGTACTTTAGTAAAAGTAGAAGTACTCAGGTCTTGTACTTGAGTAAAAGTAGAAGTACTCAGATCGTGTACTTTAGTAAAAGTGGAAGTACTCAGGTCTTGTACTTGAGTAAAAGTAGAAGTATTCAGATCTTGTACTTGAGTAAAAGTAGAAGTACTCAGATCTTGTACTTGAGTAAAAGTAGAAGTACTCAGATCCTGTACTTGAGTAAAAGTAGAAGTACTCAGATCTTGTACTTGAGTAAAAGTAGAAGTACCAGAGTGTAGGAATACTCTGTTACAGTAAAAGTCCTGCATTCAAAATGTTCCTCAAGTAAAAGTAGAAAAGTATTCTCATCAAAATATAGTTAAAGTAGCGACAGTAAAAGTAGTCATTGTGCAGATTGGTCCATTTCAGAATAATATATATGATATGTTTTATAATGATTGATCATGAAAGTGTTCTCAAAGCTGGTAAAGGTGCAGCTAGTTTGAATGACTTTGTATACTGCAGGGTAGCTTGTGGATTTACTCCAGGTGGAACTAAAGTCTGATTTAACACTTGATTATATTTCACATCATTCATCCACATCTGTAAAGTAACTAAAGGGATTACATACATGTAGTGGAGTCAAAGTACACAGTAGCTTAACATTGAAATACTCAAGTAAAGTACAAGTACCTCTAAATTGTACTTATCCATCTAATAATAATAAATAATTGAAGCTCATCTCACCACAAGGGGTCGCCCTCCCCAGTTCTGCCTCCTCCCTGTTCATTGAACCCAGAACACATCGCTCACTAATCACCAGAAAGACGTGATAACACACCGACACATGGATCAATATCATTTTATCTAAACTCAAACACACAATCAATTATTTGTTGATTTATATTCTGTAATCTGAATCTTTAAAGTACCTTAAAGTGTCAGATAATTGAAGTGGAGTAGAAAGTCTTCTCCTTCCTCTCCACCTGATGTTCTTCCTGCCTCAAAAAAAGTAGAAGTTAGCTATTAGCTATAATCTGGCATATTGCATCTCTTCTCTTTGCTGAGATTAATGTATTTGTATGCATGGTCCTTCTATAAATAAATACATGCATATAAATAATTGCAAGTCTCTTCAGTGCGCATGTCACAAAATGATTTAAAAAGAAAAGCCAAATTCTGGAAAACAAGTCACAATCAAAAAACAGAAGTGACATTTTATTAAAAGGAAGTGACATTTAAAAAAAAAGTACCATTTAGAAGAAAAAAAGTCAAATTCTGAGAAAGAAAAGTCTAATTTGAGATGCATTGTGGGACATGTAGTTTATGGGCAACGTGCTTCTGTAAATCATCATGTAACCGTATAATAAACTTTGCAAGCTCTTGTGGGGCCGCAGAAAATGAAGTCACGGGCCGGATTTGGCCCCCGGGCCTTGAGTTTGACACCCCTGAGTATATTTGACCATCTTCACTTACAACCCACTACAGTTCAGTACTTCTACTTTTCCTCAAGTACAAGATCTGAGTAGTTCTGAGTACTTTTACTTTTAAGTACATGATCTAATCTAAGTACTTCTACTTTTAAGTACATGATCTAAGTACTTCAACTTTTACTCAAGTACATGATCTAAGTACTTCTACTTTTACTAAGTTTCATGGTCTGAGTACTTCTACTTTTACTAAGTACATGGTCTGAGTACTTCTACTTTGACTAAGTACATGGTCTGAGTACTTCTACTTTTACTCAAGTACATGATCTAAGTACTTCTACTTTTACTAAGTACATGGTCTGAGTACTTCTCCCCTCTCTTTCTGTTGCTGCTTCCCTCCAGGATCAATAAATCTCTTATCTTGATTGAACTGTGGTTGTATAAAACTTGAAGGTATTTGTATTGATCAGGTATTTGTATTGATCAGGTATTTGTATTGATCAGTTATTTGTATTGATCAGGTATTTGTATTGATCAGGTATGTGTATTGATCAGGTATTTGTATTGATCAGGTATTTGTATTGATCAGTTATTTGTATTGATCAGGTATTTGTATTGATCAGGTATTTGTATTGATCAGGTAGATGTTGATGCTGTTCTCTCTTCAGGTGAACCCCCGCTGTCTCTCTGTGACTCCCCTCATTTCCCCTGAGAGTGACAGAGCACTATTTATTTCCTGCTGCGCAGTTCACAGTCTGAGTCTGAGCAACAGCTCCCCTGCTGGTTGAGTTCGGAACTGTTCCCAGCAGTCACGTGATTTCCTGTAAACAGTCCGACCAGCTGGAGGTGAAATACATCCATGGGTGAAACCACTGCTCCTGAGCGCCATCTAGTGGGAACAACTGGAACTTAAACAATAAAGACGTGTGCAGATCTTTATTTCTCCAATACATCTAAAGCTCTGAGGGTCGAAGAGACCTGATGAAGATATATAGTATACAGGACATGTACCATGTGATGTGAAGTACAATAACATACATTTAAAGTAATTAAACTGTCATTTATTGAACTCCTTATGAAGCCCCGTCTGTGGGATTAGTTTTGTGTCATAAAGATAAAGAAACACTTTCTCAGAATAAAGCAAAACTAAGAGTTTAAGAGAAAAGAAAACTGAGTCAAGCAAAATAAAATTAATTTCAAAAATAAAACTATAAGTTGCAAACAAATCATTTATGTAATCATGTAAACATGTAAAAAGTATTTTTTCTTTATTTTAACATATATTTTTGTTTGCAGTTCTCTTTGCTTCTTTCTCAATGATCAGACTCTCTCGTTTGCACTCTTCTGACCATACATCCAAGTGGGCGGGACTTTCAGGGGTTGCGTCCCCATTGGCTACTTAGTTTTTGAGTGACAGCTCAGTCCTCCCGCGATTGTACAGTGCAGCTGCAGTCAACACAGTAGCTGAGCACGGACAGAAGACGCCCAGAAGAACCAGCATTTCAATTATTATAATACTCAGGGCCGGGTTTTGGCAAAGACATACATGTCCCACAATGCATCTCAAATTAGACTTGTTTTCTTATAAATGGTACTATTTTAATAAAATGTCACTTCTGTTTTTTGATTGTGACTTGTTTTCCAGAATTTGGCTTTTCTTTTTAAATCATTTTGTGACATGCACACTGAAGAGACTTGCAATCATAGGCGGTCACCTAGGGCGCCAGATATGAATCAATATAGTGATTATATTCTGTGTTCACGTTACCTTCGGCCCAATGATTCCCAGACCGTGTTCTCCCACAGCTCCTGAAGGTCCCACAGGCCCCAGATCCCCCTGTTAGAGAACCATTAACTCTCATTAAAACTGCTTTCAGATATTTATACTCTCAAAGGAGGGAGAAGTACTCACATCCTGTACTTGAGTAAAGGTAGAAGTACTCACATCTTGTAGTAAAAGTAGAAGTACTCAGATGGTGTACTTGAGTAAAAGTAGAAGTACTCAGATGGTGTACTTGAGTAAAGGTAGAAGTACTCACATCTTGCAGTAAAAGTAGAAGTACTCAGATCCTGTTCTTGAGTAAAAGTAGAAGTACTCAGATGGTGTACTTGAGTAAAGGTAGAAGTACTCACATCTTGCAGTAAAAGTAGAAGTACTCAGATCCTGTTCTTGAGTAAAAGTAGAAGTACTCAGATCCTGTACTTGAGTAAAAGTAGAAGTACTCAGATGGTGTACTTGAGTAAAAGTAGAAGTACTCAGATCCTGTTCTTGAGTAAAAGTAGAAGTACTCAGATGGTGTACTTGAGTAAAAGTAGAAGTACTCAGATCCTGTACTTGAGTAAAAGTAGAAGTACTCAGATCCTGTACTTGAGTAAAAGTAGAAGTACTCAGATGGTGTACTTGAGTAAAAGTAGAAGTACTCAGATCTTGTCCTTGAGTAAAAGTAGAAGTACTCAGATCTTGTACTTCAGTAAAAGTAGAAGTACCAGAGTGTAGGAATACTCTGTTACAGTAAAAGTCCTGCATTCAAAATGTTCCTCAAGTAAAAGTATAAAAGTATTATCATCAAAATATAGTGAAAGTAGCGACAGTAAAAGTAGTCATTGTGCAGATTGGTCCATTTCAGAATAATATATATGATATGTTTTATAATGATTGATCATGAAAGTGTTCTCAAAGCTGGTAAAGGTGCAGCTAGTTTGAATGACTTTGTATACTGCAGGGTAGCTTGTGGATTTACTCCAGGTGGAACTCAAGTCTGATTTAACACTTGATTATATTTCACATCATTCATCCACATCTGTAAAGTAACTAAAGGTATTAAATACATGTAGTGGAGTCAAAGTACACAGTAGCTTAACATTGAAATACTCAAGTAAAGTAAAAGTACCTCTAAATTGAACTTATCCATCTAATGATAATAAATAATTGAAGCTCTTCTCACCACAAGGTGTCGCCCTCCCCAGCACTTGGTAGTGGACATCTCCAAGAACCTGATGCTTTGATAGCACACAGGTCTGTGTCAAATAACACACTCTCACATGACTCACTCTAAAGTCAATGGCACACAAAGAGGGGTTCATTTAGCACAGACGTGTCAAACTCAAGGCCCGCGGGCCAAATGTGGCCCGCCACGTCATTTGATGTGGCCCGCGAGAGCTCGCAAAGAATATAAACAGTTTATTATACGGTTACATGCCGTTTAAGCACGTTGCCCATAAACTGCATGTCCCAAAATGCATTTCGTTTTGTGACGTGCGCACTGAAGCGACTTCCTATCAGCAGCGGCACTCTGAGGCGGTGAGTGACCAGTGTGTGACTGTGAGTAACACAGAGTTGAAGGAACATCATTTACAGCGGCACAGAGACACCAAACACGGAGCAAAGTCTGCTTCAGCAACCGAGACAAGCAACTCCAGTCCCAGAACAAACAGACAGAATGACCCGCTCTTTAAGAATCAGTCGGTGTTGCTGCGGCTCAGAGACACGCATGGATTTATTATGTTTTAGAAAAACTCGCGTTACGGTTATTTCCGGTTTCTGGTTGATTAAAATATATGAGGTCTTGGCTTGCAGAGTATGAACGTCTTTTTGCTATATTCAGACGATAAATACTTGTCTAAAGTTTGTAAAGGAAGGAGGAAAACTTCCGCGATCCCTGTCCCCTCTCACTCTGTTCCTCCTCATCACGCCGCCGCCCCCCCCCCCCACTCACTGCTTACTGAAATAGTGAGTGACAGGTGATAGTAACACAGCAGGATCTGGGACAGGGGGTTCTCAAAGTCTTGGCTTTCAGACTATTAAAATATTATTGCTGAATTCAAATGAAATATAGCCTATTTAAATAATGCTTGATATACAAAAGAAAAATACTTTATTATTCACAAAAAATAGATTTCACAAACATTGTATCTCTTTTTGATAAGATATGATGAGGCTAACTACATTTCATAAATTCATGGGATTTATGTAACAGTAAGAGAGTGAAATGTTAGTCTGAGCCCACATACAGTATTTTTGTGTCTACGTGCACAATACATTAATGCACAACCATGTGCTTTCAGACGTAGTTATTGCCAAAACCAATAATACTCCAATGCAGAGGCAATATTGTTATACAGTATAAAACATTATTTTGATATTTATATATGTATATTTATATAGTGTTAAAATTACAACCGGCCCTTTGAGGGCAACCATAATGCTGATGTGGCCCGCGATGAAATTGAGTTTGACACCCCTGATTTAGCACGACACATTTCAAATAACTAAAGGACAAGTTATACAAGGAAGTAGAAAGAAAGGGAGGTGATAGAAAACTATTTCTGCTAAAAAGTTAGCAATGATTGAGAGTCAGAGCTAAACATTTCAGATGTGTGTATCTCACACTGCACTGTCACTTTTATTCATATATCTTTGCTTCTCAATGAGTGTTTTTAAATATCAATTCATAATATGTTTCTTCTTAATGCTCTTAATGTCTTTCATTTGTGTAAAGCACTTAGAATTGCCTTGTGTTGAAATGTGCTATATAAATAAACTTGCCTTGCCTT